CTAGAACTGGTTTAAAGTCGATTTGATTTTCTCTTCTGCGTGAGAGAAAGACGGGGTAGGGGGGAGTACGGGGAGTACCCCAACAGGGTCTTCGTGCCACAATCCACCTCCAGCCTCAGCCAGCTCCAGATCACAGCAGGTGTGACTGGAGTACCTGTGAGCCCCCCAAATGGAGGCCGGGCCCTCCCCGTGTGTCCAGCAGCAGGTGCTGCGTGACTTGGGCGCCACCGCAGCCAGCCCTCCGGTGTCCGTCCTTCTTTTTGCATGGTCCCCTCATCAGGCAGGCCTCCCCCTGTAGGGCTCCCCCTGTGTATACCTGTGTATGCTGAACGAGCCTCTCCCACCTCCCCCGAGTCCCCGTACCATCTCCTCCCACTGCTCAATTTACTCTCATCGGAACATTTTTATAACAAAAGTACCTTTAATTCATCGGTTGTTTCTTCTGCTAGCGCGTAAGTGCCATGAGAGCGGAGACCCGTGTGACTCGTTCACCCGGAGGCCCCGCGCACACCAGCACTCACACGTGTCGTCACTGCTGGTGTTGGTAGTGCGGCGTGTTTATTGTCATATGTGTTGGCGCCATTCTTTTTTTTTTTCTTTTTTAATTTTTTCTGTAGCATGTGAGTGCTCACCGGAGACAGAGAGAGGGAGGTGAGACCCTGCACAGTTCCTTGTCTTTCATTCTCCTCTCAGGGTTTTGGGCATGCATACACACATGCCCAGCATGCTTTTCGAGCCGCTGGGTCTGAGACTCAAACCACACAGTTGGCCGTGTGGAGTCCAGTTGCCACAACCTCCACACCACTGCTGGCCCTGCTCTTCTTACGATACACCCAGCACGTAGCCTAACTATTTGAACAATTAGATCAACACAGATGTAAGACCCACGCACACACACTAAGGTTTGGGTGGAAGACGGTGTGGAACAGAGATGTTTCTCCAGGGCCACAGAGTGAGGCCCAGATGGCCCGGGGAGGAGGGTTCCCTAATTCTACCCAGTGTCTTTTAGGCAAGAGAGGACCCAGGCTGCTTGCAAAGTCAGAAAGAGCTGTAGGCATTAGGAAGCCAAACCTCCCCCCAGGACTCACACCTCCCCAGGGAGTGTGGGAAACCATGGCAGCTGGCTTGTGCTTCCCCAGGGTGAGGGGCAGAGTTCTCTCTCACACAGAACAACCCGGTCGTCTGCTTTAGGGCCTAATTCTGATACCAGACCCTGGGCCAGATTTGAGGACATAAAGATGATACTGGCCACCCTGGAATTTCGGGGTTTGCTCCAAGACTCGCCACACTCACCCCAGCCCCGCAACAGTGAAAACAGAAAACGAGAAGACTCTCTTACGCTTCTTCTATCCGGGTGAGTGACTGCCAGTCTCTACCCGTTCCCCCCGGGGCCCCGTGCTGTTTCCTCACTGTGCCAGTTACCGCCCTGTGGACACATACTAACCTTTCAAAAGACGCCGTCCAAAGTAGAGAATCTTACCATCAGTGCAGTCCCTCTGCGGAGCAGGAACGCCGACTCTCTCCATTCACTAGACCGCCGTTAACGCAGCTCTGAGACTGATTAAAATGACTAGAGGAGAGAAGGAAAGAAAAGGCCTGCACTTTGGAAAGACCCTGTCATTATAGGACGGACTAAAGAAGAAAGGTCAGAGAGGTCATCAGAAAGCCAGGAATGCACAGTTCCTTAGTTACAAGAACAATGGAAGACTGTCCAAACCCTCAGGCTGTTAGTGACCAACAGAATGAGAGAAGACCAAGGGCTTTGTCTAATGATTTACCCATCAGAACCGTGGGCCCCTCAGGCTGCAAGAAGGGAAGGAGACAATGGCAGGCAGAGTCAGGTGTGTGGGCCACACTTTGAAGATCCAAGGGCAGGACCCTTCTGCTGGGAGGCTGGAAGGCCTAGAATGGAAGGCCTAGAACAGGAGCTCAGCCATGTGCTGGACAATGGCAGTTTGCAGGTTGAGCCCCTTGCTTCTGAGAACCACAAGTTCACTTCTCTGGGGTCATGTTACTGCCCCACCCCCACCATTTAGTTTCAGTGGGATCAGGCCTAGAAGATCTGAGTGCCTGAGTCCGAGCTAGGTCCATCAGAGTCCTTCCCTGGGATTTCTCAAATTACAACCAAGGAGCTCTTCTCTTCTTTAGAGACAAAACCTAGGAACCTGTGAGTCTGGGGTTGCCAATAGAGAGAGCTTGTCTGGGACCATTCCGCTGACATTCGGAGACACAAGGTTCATGGCCTGGAAATATCGGAGTGTGTGAGCCCCAGACTGGCCTGAGATTCGGTAACTTTAGTCCATAAAGCCCTTGTAATCTAAACTAAACTAAAATAATTGGGTTTCTGCCATTGGCAAATAAAACGATCGTAATATCCGAATTTTTGACCAAAGGGTGAGTTCATGGTAAGTCTGGTACTCAAGATGATTTGATGCTAAAGCCACACAGGTGGTGCCAGGGTGGCCCTCGAGGGCCTCGTCCCTTCCGAGTCCCACGTCCCCAGTCTGGTGACCAGAACTGACTGTGCCTCGCTTTGCCCCACTGATGGCAGAGCCTGCCTGGCTGCCCATGGAGAGCGTTATTTATCTGTTTCATAAGCAGGAAGGCTCGAGGCGGATGGTGGCAGGGCCTGCACTCGCCTTTCTTCCCTGTCTCACATTACATTTTACTCTGGCTAGAGTGATTCTTCTGGGCCAGGAAATTGATTATAAATCACCCCTTCTTGCTGCTGACAGCCCCTTCCCCGGGGCCTTTGCCCTCCTCCCACTCTTACTTCCCTGCACCCCTGTACACACACACACACACACACACACGCACATGCGCGCGCACACTCTTCTCCATGCCAAGGATTTTATATTTCCCCACTTCCATTTATTGGTGTACTTTTATAACCAGTTCCATCTGGGGCTCTGAATGAACCCAGTCGGGAGTGATCAGGTCCAGAAAGATGAAGCCGGCTGGAGGAGATGTGGACTTGCCTTCTTGGCACCTACCTAGAGGCAGCGAGCTGGCACTCGGCAAGAAGAGGTTGACCAGCTGTTTGCGAGGACCAGGGCTTAACAAGTGAGTGGAGACTCAGATGCAGGCCTGATCTCTCCAGGGCAAGAGCCTCTGCTAGGGCTGCAGACACCTGGAGGATAGGGAATCAACAGGCAGAGGCGGGCAAGAAACTGAGAAGTGAGTGGTGGGGCTGTCGCAGCCCTGGTTATGGCCCCGGTTACAGCCCCTGCCACCTCCTTTCACAAATACAGGCCCACTGTGTGTTACCTGCCTCAGTACCCGGCCCAGGGAAAGTGCCTTAGAAATCGCGGCACAGAACTGGGAATTTCTAGAACTGGGAGGCTGAAAGGTCTTCATCTCCACCCCAGCCCAGCCACTTACTCACTGCTTGGGCTGCTGGGTTCTGGACAGCTTTTCTTAAAGGACCAGATGGTACACACTTTGGGCTTTGCAGCCTTAAGAGCTTTCCCAACTACTAACTCTGATGCCGTGTCCCCAGAGCAGCCAAAGACCCCATGTAAATGAATGGGTGTGGCCGTGGCCCTTTAAACCTGCATTTTCTTTTGTTTGTTTTATTTTTTTTGGGTTTTGTTTGTTTGTTTGTTTTGGGGGTTTTTTTTTTGGGGGGGGAGAGGTTTTTGCTATAGGGCACCCAGAAAGAGAGACAGAAAGTGAGAAGTCACCCCCCAGGGGTGATGGCAACTCCGCAGTCCCTTCTCCTCTAATCTCCTCTTGGGATCTTGGGCACACTCGCACACGTGCCTGGTGTGAGTTTAAGCCACTGGGTCTGGGACTCGAACTGAGGTTGACTACGTGGGAGTCCAGCAACATAGCCATTACACCAACTGCTGGTCTCAAACCTGCATTTTCAAAAACAGGCAGTCCAAGCTCAGGGCATGACTGGCTGACCCCTTAGTCCTCTCAGTTCAGGTGCAACTCTCAAAGTTCTGAATACTACACCAGGAGTTTGACCCAGCTGCTCAGAGGACAACAGCGAAATTGCGAGAAAGCCGTATTTCCTACTCACTTAGCACTCATAGTACAAGTTAGTGATCTTGCAGGGGCGAAGTTCAAGTCTGGCTTTGTCATTTGCAAGCTCCGTAACCTCGGGAAAGGTACTTAACTGCTTTGTGCCTCAGCACCATCGTCTGCAAAATAAAAATGCTAACAGAGGATTCAATTAGTGAACTCCTGTGCTAGAACGGGGTCTGGCAAGTAGCATGAGCCTCATTAACGAGTCCGTGAGACTGGGGGATGGGCAATACCAGGAGGCTTCCCTGTGATGGCAGAACAAGGTCTTAATCTAACTTTAGGAAATTTCTGGAGGAGGTGATGCTGCAGTAGAGGCACTAATGAGCGGAGTTGAGCCCCTTATTAAAAGCAAGAAAAAGCCTGTTAAAAACATAGGATTAGTTTACCACAGAGCAACCAGAGAGACAAGGTTGGAGAGAGAAGCAGGGGCCACCTCGTGCAAGACTGTGGAGTCCCCGCGGTCCAGAATGGCTTTATCCCCATGACAGTGGGAACCAGGGCATGGTTTTAACTAGGGAGATGTGTGTTCCTCTGGTTGCTGGTATAGACAGAAAGACCAAGAGTGGTGGCAGGAAGCCCTTGCCTCAATTCAGCCTAGGAAGAGAGGTTGCCCTAGGACAAGGGCCCTGGACAGAGGACAGGCACAAGACTTTAAAGAGATTGAAACTTCAAGATAGGGAATCCTATTGGATCTTGTGAATGGGAAAGAGGGAAGAGTCAGGGTGGTCCCAGGCTTTGGCCCACCGCTTGTAAAGCAGCAGAGCTCAAGCACAGACAACTCCAAACCCACCATGCGATCCAAACCTGTGGCAGGAAGAAGTCTGTCAGAGGTCATCTCGTCCACTCCTCTGCCTCCGCACCTTTCTGTATTCAACCCATGCAGGCA